TTCTAAATGTTTTATACAGAATCTCTAATATAACTTTTGTTGACTTTTGAAATATTGATCATTTCTTAAAGCGAATTACAGACAATAATTTAATTACTCTCTGGAAAGCCCAGAAATACCCGAGGAAAAGGACGAAAAAGACGCTCTCGTTCGTGTGGTCGCCGACTTCCCTCAGCCCAACAAATTTTGCACCAAAGTGACCGATTCGGCCTAGATTAAGGTCTATATACTTATATAAACCATGGCCTAGATAGCCCCGCTTATGGCCAGACCAGCTGAACCGCAAGAAAGTAATCCTTTAAGTCCAGTAAGTGACCGATAACGATATCGCCGATGGCTAATCTTATCTCTCGCTGATGAGATACGGGGCAGTCCGCATGACTAAACAGTTGGTGACCCTCCAAGACCCAGGGCCCCCTAGAGCCTGCTGAACATTTCTTTGAAATAAACTGAAAAGGACAATGGCTTGAAGTTCTTTGCCGCATTCTCGGCAGTTAAAGAAATATGTGGAAGTCGTTTCACAATCTCCGACAAAACATCTGGGCGTTTGTATTGATGCAGATGGAAATGCTTCTTTAAAAAAACATCCCTTAGACAAATACATTTCAGAGGAAATTGTTAAAAGTCTTTCCTCAAAAGTACCCGGTTGCCCCCCCCTCCCCCCACACTCACGATATTTATTTCAAAATTAAGATATAAGAATAAATGAAGAAAGGTTTATACCGATTAGTGGGGTTGCATACAATAGATTCCCGTAACCAGTTGATATGGTGTTGTTTGGGATGTAAAGGGCAGTGAAAGTACGAAAGAAAGATATTTTGACCCGAGATGCATGCATTTCTTGTACGAATCTGTGGCTTAAACCTGGAGACCAGTCTGCAGATCTACAGAATTCAGTGAATGGCTCACAGAGTCCTGTGAGTGAAGCCAGAACTTTGGGGATTCTTATGAGCCCTCCATTACTCGCTGCGAGTTACTGAACCCTCATGAAACGCTACCCATATCCACCCGAGAGGAGTGGCTGCCAATCCCCTTCGCCTCAGTTGTCGGTGAGACGCTGGGCCGCAAATGACCCCCCCCCCTTTACCGAGGAATCTTCATGTGATCTCAAAGGGGTTGTATTACTCCTTTCTGTCAGGCAATGGAGAACATCACTGCCTTTAGCTTTCACGTATTACATTGTGCGTTCGGCCCAACACAATGAATGCTGGATTATATTACATTGGGTAGAAGTAATTTGGTCTAATTATTCATATGGCATGAATAATATGAAAAAAATGATGCATAGCATTTGGTTGATTGTAGGTTGGCCAATTTGCGGTCTTGATTGTTGATTGGACAAAAGTAGAGTCCATCAGAATTGAGGTTGAACATAAGTTGCAAAGTAGGAACAGTAGGTGAATTCTCTTGATGCTGAACTGCCGGAGAGAGAGTATACAGTTTACGGATAGCTCTGATAGCTTCCTGCCTATCTACCATCACTGGCAGGCGACGTCTTTTATGCAATATAAAACGAAGAGATAAGGCCATCCAAGAAAAGGGTGGAGCGGAAGGCTAAACACCTAAGCTTCGGGCTTTGAGTCGGGCTTGACGCTTGAGCCGCCCGGAAGTTGTTCTTAGTGTGGCTAATTATTCATATGTAGATATGTGTGTTCTTAATGGAGATATGTGAATTGATATTGAACCTCTCTATTAATGAATGTGTAATATATTGATAGTTTTGTTATGTCTGATACCATTGGATAATTAAATAGACGTAGACTATTAACAATATATAGATATACTATAAAGGGTAACACATGGACGAAGTACCTGTCGCTAAAGAAAAAGCAATTTACGGACACTACTACGGTAAATACTTCGGAACTATGCAAATAGAGCCGTAAACAAGTCGAATAACACATATCACGTAAAATATTGAATGCAAATGGCCACATGTTTATTCCCTACACACACACACACACACAGAGAGAGAGAGAGAGAGAGAGAGAGAGAGAGAGAGAGAGAGAGAGAGAAAGAGAGAGAGAGAGAGAGAGAGAGTTAGAGAGAGAGAGAGAAACGTTACTGAAATGTTCTTGGTTAGGTAGCAATAGCTATTTTATTGAATCGGCGTAACATCTGTTAATATTTGTTTCCAATGTTTCAGAAGCTCGAACCGTCCGCCGAATCGCTCGTCTTCGAATCAGGACGTGAAAGCGGTGTGTTTCCTATGACACTGTAGAGAAAGGAGTACTTGTCTTCAGCAAAGAAGTTCAGCTCGCAAATCGGGGCAGATGCCGGAGGACTGGGAGAAGGAAGCCGACCTTGAGAAGAAGCAACAGGTCCTGGAGGCGTGGGGCAAGAGCGTGGGCGCGGGCAGGATGGCTTCCGAGGAGGCGATGGAGCTGCAGCCGAAGGGGAGGGACGCCCCGGCGCCCGAAGGGACGGGGGAGGACGGCGACCAGGGAGGCTCCTGCTGCTGCCGCTCGCCGTGCGGGGAGTGCTTGGGCATCTTCCTCAAGTAAGTGAGGGGAGGCCGCTGGCTCTGAGGAGGTGCAGGCCTCCAGCCATGATTTTTATCAAGAGGCACTGAGTTTATTCACATTATTATTTTGTATTCTGTAGAACTTCCATTCATCGTTTATTAGCTTTCGTAATTTGCACGGACAGCTAGTATCTAGACCTACCGTCAGCACAAAAGAAATTATCGTCGCTCCCACGATCATGGAAGTAAGGTATTCATCACCATCTGATATTTTTTGTACAAAAGCATTTTGCTGTCGATAAAGACAGTTCATTCTATTAGTTCAAGAAATGTGTGGTATAAATATCTTTATTCATTTTTCTACCTGGAGTACCAAGGTGTAATGATTTTTCCTTAATTTCCTCTGGTTTGTACATGGTGATTCTCCTCAAATTTACCAAGGCATATGAGGCGACTCACACTAACTCCCTTTTTGCGTGACATCACACTTGGCTGCTCGGCGTCCGTCGCCCGAAGACCAGCAGACATTTTGCATCCGCATCGCACGGGGACCTTCGGTTGCATTAAATGGTTCGATAGTCCGAAAAGGGCGGTGGAGATTACCTTAGAGTAAATGTTATAGAAGCGTTTGTAATGTGAAAGTAAATGCATGTATGTAGATAGTTTTATTCACGTTGGTTTTATTTTCAAAACGTTCAGAAGATTTGTCAGAACTCATTGTACTAAGCCATGCTGCTGGACGCCTACGATGTTTCTCGGTATTCAGTAGACATCGCTGTTCGTCTTCTTCACCAAGCAACGTCCAGCAGCGCATAAGGACCCGAGTAGTAGTAATAACGCCCAGTGGATATATGTTCTACGTTTCTATTTACATCCGCGAATTCATCCATTTCCTGGGACGTTTTATCTCGCTGCATCAGGATGTAAAACATGACTAGCGCACTGCGGCCTCCAGTAGATAAGGTTCAGGGGCGGCTTGCTAGAATGCGCATTGACTCCGAAATTTGCCTTTGAGAGAAAAAAAAATATGCGAAATTTTCTCTATGTCTCATCGCGAAATTCTCTGACACCTGATTTTTGTCTCTGAATCGGCTGAAGTTAGAGATAGAACTGGAGGTGTTTCACGCGCGTAAATTGTCTTTAAATTGTCCTTATGAGCTGCCGACAACTTTTGTGCGATCTTACATTTGTTCAAGATATATCCGCATCGATAAGAGTATGGAAAACTTTCCTGACAATTTTTATCTTGATACACATCAATTGAACCGTTTCCTCCATATTTCTCTTTGCTAAATACAAATGACCGCGAACCTTCTCAGCTGATGCACACAAGCACATGCGTGTGTGTGTGTGTGTGTGTGTGTGTGTGTGTGTGTGTGTGTGTGTGTGTGTGTTGTGTGTGTGTGTGTGTGTGTGTGTGTGTTGTGTGTGTGTGTGTGTGTGTGTGTGTGTGTGTGTGTTGCGCTTAGTTTATTATTATCACTGTGTGTGATACCAATGATAACAATAAACCAAGCGCAACCATATCTAAAGCAAGATGAAAGTGAACACGACTTGTTTGATGCGGACATAAATGGAATACTACTTTGCATATTTGCATTTCAAGAGCGAATAAGAGGGAGGGAGAGAGAAAGAGAGAGAGAGAGGAAGGAAGGAAGAGAGAGAAAGAGTGAAAGAGAGGGAAGGAGAGGGAGAGACAGAGAGAGGGGGGGGGGAGGGAGAGAGAGAGAAAGGGGGCGGGGAGGCGAGAGAGAGGAGAGGCACAGAGAGAGAGAGAGAGTGAGTGAGTACCGGAGATAAATGGAATACTACTTTGCATATTTGCATTTCAAGAGCTAATAAGAGGGAGGTAGAGAGAAAGAGAGAGAGAGAGAGAGGAAGGAAGAGAGTGAAAGAGTGAAAGAGTGAGAATGATAGAGAGAGGGAGAGAGAGAGAGAGAGAGAGAGAGAGAGAGAGAGAGAGAGAGAGAGAGAGAGAGAGAGAGAGAGAGAGAGAGAGCACAGACAGACAGACTGATTGAGAGACACAAACAGAGACCGAAGGAGAGGCACAGAGAGAGAAAGAGAGTACCAGAGATGAAGATGAAAAGATAGAGAGGAAAGGATAATCAACTAGAGAGAGAAGGGGAGGCACAGAGAGACAGACGGACAGAGGCAGAGGCGCAGAGAGCAGCGGAGAAAATTTCAGAGATGAAGATGAAAAGATAGAGAGAGAAGGATAATAAACCAAAGAGGGGGGGGGCAGAGAGAGAGAGAGAGAGACTGACAGACAGACAGAGACAGAGGCGCAAAGAGAGAGAGAATTTCTGAGAGGAACATGAAAAGACCGAGAGAGAAAGATAATCGACCAGGATAGCAGCAATTTCCAGTTCCATCTGTCGAGTAATGGATTTCTCGGGGCTGAAATTTAATTAGATTTCTCAGCAATTATGACAACCCAATTAACCTGTGAGCACCTTGCCGTCCGTAGTTGATATTCATTGTTCTGACTTGAATAACAGCGATTATGTGTTTCTCTCGCTTTTCTTTTTTCTTTTCTCCTTCGTTCTGTTTAGTTGTTTTATTTTACTCCCGACCTCGCATCGCCAAAGAAACTTCAGTCTTTTCTTTCAAACTTTATATAAAAAGTACATTTGTTTTTGTGTATTTTTCCCCTTTCTTCTTCTTCTTCTTCTTTCTTCTTCTGGTCAACAACTTTCTGTCGGCACACTTACGTAACCGTAATTGTTCCATCGAAGGTCAATATTTTCTAATCGACTAAACTAAAATATTAATCTTGTGCCTAGAAGGGCAGGTGAGTAATATTTCATCGCCACGATAACGAACAAGAGAAACATTTTCTTCTTCATCTTCTCCTCCTCCTCCTCCTCCTCCTCCTTCTCCTTTTTCTTCTTCTCCTCCTCCTCCTACTCCCACTTCTCTCTCCTCCTCTTCTTCTTTTTCTTCCTATCCTTCTTCTTCTTCTCTTTTTCTTCCTCCTCCTTCTTCTTTTTCTTCCTATTCTTCTTTTTTTCTTCCTCCTCCTCTTTCTTTTTATTTCCATTTTTTTTTTTTCTCTGTTCTTCTTCTTTTTCTAATTCTTCTTCTTCATCTTCTCCTCCTCCTCCTATTTCTTCTTTTTCTCTTTCTCTTCCTCCATCTTCTTTTTCTTCTCTTTCTCTTCCTCGTCCTACGTATTATTATTATTATCATCCTGTTCCTCTTCCCCTCCCTCTCCCCCTCCCCCTCCCCTCCTCCTCCTCCTCCTCCTCCTCCTCCTCCTCCTCCTCCTCCTCCTCCTCCTCCTCCTCCTCCTCCTCTTCCTCCTTCTACTCATCCTTCCTTCCACCTCTTCTGACTTTCTCTTCTCCTCTTCCTCCTCCCGCTCCTCCTCCTCCTTCTTCTTCTTCTTCTTCTTCTCCTCCTCCTCCTCCTCCTCCTCCTCCTCTCCTCCTCCTCCTCCTCCTCCTCCTCCTCCTCCTCCTCCTCCTCTTCCCTTCTCCTTTTCCTCCTCCTCTTCTCCTCTTCCTCCTTGTCCTCTTTCTTCCCCCTCTCCTCCCCTCCTCCTCCTCCTCCTCTTCCTTCTCCTTTTCCTCCTCCTCCTTCTCCTCTTCCCCTTTCCTCTTTCTTCAATTATCTCCTTCGTTTTGTCTCCCCAGATGTCTAAATGCAGGTCCTTCAACTAATTCTAATTTAAAAAAAAGAGAGATTGTCCAAGTCTTGCCATCGCAGGAAATGTCCGCATAGGAAATGATGTTGACGTTGCAGTTCTGAATAAATGCTTGGGCGAATAAGCTGGCGGTCGATGCGCCTGTGCTCAAAGTTTACAGTTTCGTTTATACTGAGAGCGAAGACTTACCTGTGTACGTGTGTGTGTTTATGTTTGTGTAAGGGGGGCGGCCATATATGCCCGTGTGGTATGGAGAGAGAGAGAAAGAGAGAGAAGGGGGGGGGAGGAAAGGAAGAAGAAGAAGAAGAAGAGAGTGAGAGAGAGGGGCAGGTAGGGAAAGGGAGGTAAGAAGAGAGAGAGAGAGAAAGAGGGAGGGAGGGAAGGAGAGGGAGAGAGAGAGGGGGTGGGGAGGAAGAGTGAGGGAAGAAGAGAGAGTGAGAGGGGAGGGAGGGAAGAAGAGAGAGAGAGAGAGAGAGAGAGAGACAGAGGGGGGAGGGGGGAAGAACAGAGAGAGAGAGTGAGTGTGGAATAGCTCGTGCGTTGCACAACGAGTGTGTGCGTGCGTGCTGCTAATGGCTTTAGGTGGAGGATGAAAGCGCGATATCATTACGAACGAAAAGCCCGCCATCCGTCACCGGCGATCGCCCATATTGATCTACGGACGACCACGGATGCGCCTTCAAGGTCAGTGGCAGCGTGTTAGTGTGTTAAACGGGAGGACTTTTGGAGCAAGGGCGAGGGGAGGGACAGAAAAAGGGAGGGGCGAAGGGAAGGCTAAAGAGAGACTGAGAGGTGGGGGTGGAGGGGGAGCTAGAGAGAGAAAGGGGAAAAGAGAGAGAGAGAGAGGGTGAGCTAGAGAGAAGGGGGGGGGCTAGAGAGAGAAAGGGGGAAAGAGAGAGAGAGAGGGAATGGGAGCTAGGGAAAGAGGGGGAGGGAGAGCTAGAGAGAGAGATAAAAAGGGAGGGAGGGAACTGAAGACAGAGACGGACAGACAAACAGACAGACAGAGACAGAAGCAAAGGCACAGAGAGAGAGGGAGAAAGAAAGAGAGAGGAAGAGAGAGACAATAAAAGAGAAGAGGAAAGAAAACCAGAAAAAGAAATAAACGATGGGAGATCAAAAGAGAAAGAAAAGAAATACAGAGAAAGGGATCGATAGGCAGAAAAAAAGAAAGAAAAGAGGAAAGTCGGGAGAGGGAAGAAGAGAGCGAGGGCCGAAAAAAGGGGGAGATGACAGACGGAGGAAGGGGCGGCAGGGGAGGGGGGGGGGGGAGGAGCTCTTCCTAAAAAATAACCCGACTTCCTCCTCCCCTCCCCCCCCACCCCACCACAGCCGAGACTCCCCAGCCACAGCCGCCGGCGAAGTTAGAAAAAAAAAGACAGCTGAT